TGCTTACATGCCATGACCAGAATGCACTAAAGGACAGCACGCAGCACAGTGTTGGTAGGGTCCCATCCAGAGAAGCTTTGTCGCCCCGCCCCCATCATGGAGAAGGTCCCCTCCATGAGAGGAGAGGCTTCTGCCCTCGCTCTTAGGTAGCTTTTTATTCGTCTCATGTGCCTCAGTTTCTTTTCTTACAAAAGAAGGATATTGGCGCTTACCACCTCATTTATAATGTCTGCCGAAGGGATTGAATTACACATATAAAAATCCAGACCCATGAAAAAAAAAAAAAAAAAAAAAAAAAAAAAAAACCAAACCCAAAAAAAAAAAAAAAAAAAAAAAAAAAAAAGAAATCCAGACCCATGTCCTGAGGAAGGCCACATCCACAACAATGCTATTAAATTAACAAAGCATTTGGGGTGGAAATTGTAGGGCACTGATTTCAAAATACTTAACTTGTATTGAGGCTTTGGATGTAGATTGAAAAGACAAGCAGTAGAGCGGGAGGTGTAGGAGAACTGACCTAGCTTACACGAGAGGCCCTTTGGTGGGGGGGGGGATAAAAGGCAATAAGTGTAAATCTAGGCTTAAAGAAGTGTTTGCCATTATTTTTTATGACATTGCCACCTCCAACATCAATCAGGGATAGGGCAGCCATGTTCTTAACATTGTCTACATAAAATGACCTTACAGACTGTTTTAAAAAGCTCAGGGGCTGGTGAGATGGCTCAGTGGTTAAAAGCATATACTGCCCTTGCAGAGGACCTGAGTTCAATTCCCAGCACCCACGTCAGGTGGCTCACACCCTCCTGTAACTCCAGCTCGAAGAGATCCAAGGCCCCTTCTAGCCTCTGTGGGAGTTCGGCTTCAAGTGCGCGGATCTCCACACAGATGCATGCATACACATAACTATAAAACAGAACTCAATCTTTTAAGATAGATAAACTCAGTGAATCCTGTTTAATTAGTGTACTGAAAAGGTTCCAAGATGTGGTAAACAAGCTGACCATGGGTAAGCAAAAGCTTTACAGGTGAAGGAAGGTTTTAGAAACCTTTTATTGTTACTAAATTTCTCATGAACTCCATACTCAGCTACTTGACCCCATATGCAGCATATAATTTAAGACACTGGGGGCCAAGAGACTGGCTTTCTAAATCCCATATTGAGTAAAAAACACCTGACCTTCAGAGAGGTTAACTAGACACAGCTAGCTACAGAGTTCCCCCAGGGTCCTCAGGCTCAGCTCTGTGACATCTTAACACCCTCTCCTCTCTCTCTCTCTCTCTCTCTCTCTCTCTCTCTCTCTCTCTCTCTCTCTCTCCCCTCTCTCTCTCCAGTGTCTAGCAAGCTCTGTGAATTCCTGAGAAGCACTGTAAGAATGAAATTCTTTGATTATTTTTATTTTTGAGATTTTGTTTATTTTTGGTTTCTGTGCATGGGTGTTTTCCCGTATGTATGTCTGTGCACCACATGTGTCAAGTGCCCTCTGAGGCCAGAAGAGGATTCGGAATCCTCCAGGCATGAAGTAACAGATGTCTGTGAGCTCCCATGGGGGTGCTGGGTTCTTACTCGGGTCCTCTGGAAGAGCAGCTAGTGCTCTTAAACCACTGAGCCATCTTTTCAACCCTCAGTTCTTGGTCCCTAAAAGCTGAAACTTACTCAGAACTTTTCTCTCTGGGCATCTTACTCTTGTTCCTGATTTACTAGTCCCCTTCCTTCCCTGAGAAAGGAGCATCCTCTTGCTCCAATGGCCCTGGGCTCCAAGAGTGCTAGGTTAAAAGATGGTTGGACAGATGCTGGTGACTGTAGCCTCTGGCTGTGCAGGCAGGAATTGGTACCTAGTCGCTGTACATCTTAGCACCCAATGTTGTTGCCTCCTGGCTCTAGCAATGCCAAGGAGAGCTGGGGAGATCACAAATTGAGGAAATGCTTCATGTCTTTCCTGTTGGGACTTTAGTGAGAAGTGGTCTCCTCTTGAATCATTATAGAAGGCTTGCTGTCATTTCTTCTTCCGGTTTGATTGTCATTGTTAGAAACTTGTGTCTATATGGTGACAGACTCCACAAGACAACTTCCTTGTCTCCCTAGGTAAGAGGGGAGATTCTTTCCTTCTATTGGAAGTTATTCATAACGTAATTGTTCTATATTACTGGCCAGCAAGCTGCTTCCCTGCCCACAAGCCTACCGAGGATGGTAGCTTGCCGCTGTAGTGTTTACAGATCTCCTGGGAACATTGTGGTCAGCTTGAGTGCCAGCTTAGCCTAGCCCACCCTTCAGACTCCTTGGGTAGGGCCTCAGGGCTCATTTGCATCCTTAGTGCTTGAGGTGTTAGGGGTTTCCTGGTCTGGGCTGCAGGTGACAGGAAGATGTGAGGGGCTATAATTTATAGGTATTGTCTACTTTCACCCCTGTGGCTTGTGAGTCCTGGGACCATGCTGGCTTCTACAGAGCCCAGCACAAGAAGTTCCTGCAGGAGGAGGCCAAAGCCAAGCCAAGGCTGGAAATTTTAGTCTCCTTGGACTTCCTGGAGGAGCTTTCCCTCTGTTAGTACCCAGGGTACAGGACTGGTTTCCTAGCACAACAAGTGCCTGGAAAGAAGCCAACATCCCTGTTTAGAAGCTGGCAGGAACTCATTAAGATCTTAAGGCATGCCACCTCCGAGTCCTTTTACGTCCTTTTTTTCAAACTCCTTACTCTTTGTGAATTTTATACAACATGCTTTGATCATATTCACTTTTACCTTCCTTCCCCCTGTTCTGCCCAGGTTCTCCTCCCTTCCCTAGCCACTGGACTCCGTCCTTCCCCCACAGTGAAGCACTTTTTCATTAAAGGGCTTCAGTTGGGATAAGTATAGTTTGATTTTTACTTGGGACAGGGTACTAATACTGGAAGGTACTGCTTTCTTTCTAACCCAGCCAGACAAACTTTTCCTCCTAAAAGGTCCCTGTGGTAGGGACAGACAGACATTCAGGAGCTAGGACAGTCCTGGGATGTCCCAGGGACTCCCCTTTTTCTTTTGAAACTCATTCTTGTCCCTGACCAGAAAAGGCCAGAGCAGGGAGTAAGAGCCCATTCCCGAGGGCTTTTTAGAGCACACAGTCCATTGCCGAGTCCTCTGGGACTGGCCCGCTTTGACCAGCTACCCTGGCTTCCTGACAGCTCAAACTCTTCAAACCTAGGGCTGGACCCAAGAAAGGCAGGAACATAGATGCTGAGGCCCTGGCAATGGGCACAGAGCTGGCCCTTACCTTTTTATGTAAATATGAAGATGGTAGTTAGGTTAACCATGGCAGGCAACTCTGGGAGCCTGTGTCAGTCTCTTTAAACATCTTCTCATTTGACCAAAGGAAAGATTAACTGATGTCAATTAAGATGCCCTGGACCTATAAAATGTACTCAGAATTGACTCATCTCTTGTTTTATCACAGCACCTCTGTACATGTGTGCTCAGGCTTCTGAGTCTGCAAATTGGTGCCTTGACCTGGGCTGTAGAATCCCATCCCTCTGGCCACATCTCAGCCAACCCTCTGTGGCCGCCTTGGGTCCCTCTCTCAGCTCACTGCTGTCTTCTCCATACTCAGCTTGGCCACCAAGGATTTTCAGTTCCACCCCCACCTCCCCCCACAAGCTTAAGTGGTGGCCATTCTGGTCCCTGGTGGACTTTTCCATGTGGAAGTCCTGAAGGCACTCAGGCTCCATGCAGTCAGAACTGGCCTGCTATCCTCACCTGTCCTGGTTTCCATCTCTACAAATGAAGAGACCATCCTCTCCAAATCTAGTGAGGATCCAACTTCTCATTCATATCATATTCACATTCACAGATTGGCTTGTAAACATACCTGAGACTTACCCCACCTTCTCCACTCCAGACAGCATCCTTGTTGAATGAGAGCCTGGCTTAAGGGTGTTGGTCCACTGTCAGGTCTTAGCTTTTGTTTTTCCAAACACACACAGTCATTGAGTCTTGGCAACTCAGGCTCAAGGTCAAGGTTTCTGACTACGGTTACAAAGCCGTGAAAAACTGACTCTTCCACAGGCAAGGTAACACATTGTAAACCCAAGGCCATTTTTATTACTCTACCATGAACAAGTGTTGGAATTTTTCCAATCTGAAGGCTATATTGTCAATCCCAATGAGGAAATGGGAACTAGCAAAGAAAGAAATAAGGTTTGTGCAGTTTTTTTCAAACTATGCTTCTTACACTCTGTCTGATGTGATTTCTGAATGGGGTTCTCTGGTCGTTTCCTGACTTCAGGCCCCCATCATCAGCATCTGAAGGGTGAATAATGTTAGATGATATTTTTGCCTCAAGTGAGTCACTGCATCTCTGAGGGCCTCTTGATTTATCTAGTTCTCTCAGCTTCTACCCAAACTACAGTAATCCCTTCTCAAAACACAGACTGTAAGTGACACATTGTGTAGTCAGCCTTCTGTATCTGTGGGTTACTTGTCTGCATATTCAATAAAACTCATTTAGTAAACCTGAAAAAGAAAATTCTAGAAAATTCCTAGAAACAAAATTTGAATTTGCCCTGAACCTGGTGCTATGATGAATCCATGTGAACAAGTGTTGTGAGTACCACATTAGGTATTGTAGATTACCTAGAAACAGGAAAAGGTACACAGGAAATTGTATATAGGTTATATGCAAATATTAAGCCATTTTATCTAAGGAACTTGGACTTCTGTGGATCTTGCCCATTGCCTGAAGGTCCTAGAACCAGCCCTCCATCATAATAGTGAACAATTATGATTGTTATTGTCCACTGTGTTTGATAACCAACATCGCTCCAAATGACTACCAACTATCACAAAGTTCACAGACAATGCATTTCTATTTCATTATTTCTGGATTTGTTCAAGGACTTTGCTTCCTTTATCTTTGGGGTTCAGCTCTCTGAGGAATGTGTAGTAGGTGGTACCCAGTAAACTTCGGATAAACTAAGTTGATTTTTCTCTTCCTATTAGTTAATTAACAGTCGCCATCCCTTTCTCCTCTGCAGAATGAAGATATTCAGATGTTGCTTTAAATACACCCTCCAGCAGAAGATCTTTGTCCTCTTCTTAACACTATGGCTGTTCTCTCTGCTAAAGCTTCTAAATGTGGGCAGGCTCCTCTTCCCTCAAAGAGACATTTATTTAGTTGAATATTCCCTAAGTACCTCCCCTTTTGTAAGAAACCGGTTCCCACCTCTCCCGGATGAAGTCAAGTATGAAGTTAACTGCTCAGGGATCTACGAGCAGGAACCTTTGGAAATCGGCAAGAGTCTGGAAATCAGAAGACAAAATATCATTGACTTGGAGGATGGTGATGTTGTGGCGATGACAAGTGACTGTGATATTTATCAGACCCTAAGACGGTACCATGAAAAGCTTGTTTCAAGAGAGGAAAAGAGCTTCCCAATAGCCTATTCACTGGTCGTCCACAAAGATGCAATTATGGTCGAAAGGCTAATTCATGCCATTTATAACCAGCACAATCTTTACTGCATCCACTATGACCTTAAGTCACCGAACGAGTTCAAAGTTGCCATGAACAACTTAGCTAAGTGCTTCTCCAATATTTTCATCGCTTCCAAATTGGAAACTGTGGAGTATGCCCATATTTCCAGGCTCCAGGCTGATTTGAATTGCCTATCAGACCTTCTCAAGTCTTCGGTTCAATGGAAATATGTCATCAACCTATGTGGGCAAGACTTTCCCCTGAAGTCAAATTTTGAATTAGTGTCAGAGCTGACAAAACTCCAAGGACAGAATATGTTAGAGACAGTGAAACCTCCTACTGGTAAAATGGAAAGGTTTACTTATCACCATGAGCTCAGACCAGTGCCTTATGAATATATGAAGCTTCCAGTAAGAACAAATATCTCCAAGGAGGCACCCCCTCATAACATTGAGGTATTTGTAGGCAGTGCCTATTTTGTTTTAAGTCAAGCATTTGTTAAATATATTTTCAACAGCTCCCTTGTTGAAGACTTTTTTGCCTGGTCTAAAGACACATACTCTCCTGATGAGCACTTTTGGGCTACCTTAACTCGGATACCTGGAATACCTGGAGAAATTTCCAGATCAGCCCAAGACGTGTCTGACCTACAGAGTAAGACCCGCCTGGTCAAATGGAATTACTATGAAGGCTTTTTCTACCCCAATTGCACTGGCTCGCACCTTCGAAGTGTATGTATCTATGGCGCTGCAGAATTACGATGGCTTATAAAGGAAGGGCATTGGTTTGCTAATAAATTTGATTCTAAAGTGGACCCTGTCTTGATTAAATGTCTAGCAGAAAAGCTTGAAGAACAACAGAGAAAGTTAATCACTTCATCTTCAGAAAAGTTCATTACAGATAGAAATCCCAAAGTCTCACATGAAAATAAGATCACTATGGAACTGGGAGTGTCTGATACAAAGAGTTAAGATGGAATTGTGGACACATGCCTTTCCCAGCACCGTCTGAACTTAACACTGTCCAAGACTGAACCATCTCTAGAATTCCATGCATGGATGTGAAGCCTGCTGTTGGTTGGTTCTTAATTGCTGGTCTTGCTTGTCGTCTTACTATGTCAGAGACCTTACATGTTTAGTGATATCACATTTATTGAGCACCTAACAGTGCACCAGGCACTTTATCGAGACACATGCAGGGATTAAATCTAAGTTGTAATGAATTGTGCCCTCGGGAAGCAGTGTTTACCCTCCTAAGGTGGCAACTGCAGTGCTTTCCTGTTTTCTATGTAATAATGAGGGTGCTACTGAAGATGACTTTGGAGTGTGTGCTAATCAGAACCACTTATTTCTGAAAGGGTGTCAACATGAAGCCAGTACTCTGTTTCTTAGTCCAGCAACTGAGACACTTTTGAACTATTAGACTATTAGGAGTCCACTACCTCAGAGAAATTCAAAGAATTGTCTGATCGCCTGCTTGCCAAAGTGTAATTTACCTTTTGGTGCCTCACTTTGTGGGTTGTGGGAGAGGGGAGGGGGGGGGGGGGGAGGGGGGGGTAGGTGGGTTGGGAGAGGGAGAGGCCGTGGAGGAACAAAGGCCTTCTTTATTCACCGTTTGCATTTTCATTCACTTGTTCTTCAAAGCACATATACTGATGAAAATAAAACTGAATATCGGTACAAAATGTCACAAGGCAGCACCCCAAGCCTAAGCCTTTCATTTTATATGTTAACATTGTAGATGAGATTGTGCCCTTGCCGCAGTGGCATGCTTCTGATGGGGTTGGTAGTTCTATGTAACTATCAAGTCAGTAAGTTTTCTTAGAAAGGTTTTGTGAACTATGACAGCTTTCTCAGTTGGCTATTATGATCACTTACACATGTTTCTTTTCCAGCAAAATGGAGTCCAAATTCAATTCAAAATAATAAACACTATAAGTTACTCAGCTGAGCACCAAAGGGGATATTACTTTCTTTATTTTACAAATACTCACACTTAAGAGAATCATTTATGCACACACACACACACACACACACACACACACACACACACTCACACACACACACAGGGGTGGGATGGGGGAGGCTGACAGACTGACTGAGTCTACTGTGTGTTGTGCTTCTGAGGCAGAGCCCTCAGAGCAGGCTGAAGCATTTCACCAGTCTCTGGGGAAAGTGGGACATATGTAAAAATTCCTTGTGTTTTGATGTCAGCCCCAGTAACTATTTAAATATGTAATAATCAAGGCCAAATAAGACCATTTGAAAGACTGAAGTACTTAATTATCTTTTAAAGTTTCTGTGCCCTGCATGTGAGATGCACTTGGTGTATTTAACACTTTATAACACTAACTGCCCAGAGGCACCATTTTTGGTCCAGTTTTTTTATCTTTTTTTGGTAGGGGGAAGGTTGGTTTTTCAAGACAGGATTTCTCTGTGTAGCCCTAGCTGTCCTGGAACTCTTCCTATAGACCAGGTTGGCCTCAAACTCACTCAGGAGATCCACCTCCTGAGTGCTGGGATCAAAGCCGTGCACCACCACCACCTGGCTTCATTTCTTTTATCTTTAACTCACTTTCCACCTCTTTTGCTACACTTTAAATTATTTTGTTCCCCAGAAAACAGCAGTTACCAAATCTCTATCCTTAAAGGTATGTTTCAGAGAAAGTGGAGGATGTCTCAGCTGTTAAGAACACTTGCTGTTCTTGCAGAAGACCCACGTGATCCAGGCACCCGTACCAGGTGGCTCACAACTACCCATAACTCCAGCTCTGGGGAATATATTGCCCTCTGACTGGTTTACATGGAGAATGAGGATGACAGATACTTCACTAGCCATTCAGGGTCCAACTCAAAAGGTCTTGGTTTAAGAAAATGTTTTTTATGACTTTGGTCATCAAATGGAATGTATATACAACAAATAAGTAGAATGTGCCTGATCCGTTGTCTTTCTGGAGAGAAAGGCCCTGTTTCCTGTTTATTAGAAAGTGTCTCAAGTTGCTTCATGCTTTAATGTTATTTTCAAGTGGACTTTGGTCAGGCAAAGCAGTAGGAATACCCTCCTTTCTTCATGAACACATTCTCTGGACTCAGAAATGTCAGCTACTTGCCTTTTAGGAACCTTGTACAGGCTCTTGCCCTGGGAATCTTGCAGGTTTCCTGTTTGCCTTCAGAGTTGATTCTTGCAAAAACCTTTTGCTATACGAATCCTTCCCCAGTTGGAGACTGTTCAACACTGCTTTATAATTGTTCTTTGTATAGTATTTATTGAATTTAGACTCTAATTTACTTAAAGATGAGAGTTTACAAATTATGTGTGAATATTAGAAGAATAATGAAAGTTGTCAAGATATATTATGTGATCAATCTACTGTACCATAGATACTATGCATACTGAAGAACCAGTATTTTTATTTTTGTTTTGCCTTTATTAAATAAAGGTATCATTGAAAGTTAAAGATTTCAGAGCTGGAGAGATAGCTCAGCAGTTAAGTGATAGCTCTTCCAGAGGACCAAGTGCAATTCCCAGCAACCTCATGGCAGCTTGGAACCATCTATAACTCTAGTTCCAGGGGATCCAACATCCTCTTCTGGCCTCTGCAGGCACCAGGCTCACACATGATGCAGGGACATAATATACATGCAGGTAAAACACTCATACACATAAAATAATAAGTTGAAAGTTAGAGATTTCTCTTGACTTCCAGAATTTGAGTATATAAATGCTTATGTATTTCATGGAAAATGAAATGACCATCTGGGGAATGTAAAGTGAATGTATTGTTAAGTAAATGAAAATCAATTCTATTGATGGTGTTCTTCAATTGTTTTCCTATTACTATCTAAGTTTCCTTTTTTTTTGTCTTGTCCCTGTTGTTTATCATTTTAGTAATAAATTTCCCATGTATGAGTTTTAAATGGTGACTTATTATTTTAATTATGCTGCTGGTATATGTTAGCTCTCTGGCATTTCAAAATTAAATGTGCTCCTCCAATTAAGCTCCTTGGACTGATGAGCTCTACTGTCTCTCACATGCTGGTCCCTGCGTTTTCTTGCTGTTTGTTCCACTCGCCTAACAAGTGAAGAGCTCAGTTCACTTTGGTGAGAAGGAGTTGCAGTGCATCACATTTATAATATGAACCCAGGAACTTAAATTGCTTTGCTTGATGAAGTCTCATCACTCTTCACTTTGGTTTCTCTCCTAAGATTAATTATCTTGTTTGCTTGATAATTTTCTGGAAGTTCTTGGAAGAGCCCTCTACTTCTTAGCACCTTTATCCTTGGAAAATGGGAACTTTTTTCCTCTTGGAAGAGTTCTTTGTTGAAAGTCCATGGAGAGGTAGAGCTGTCCATCACTGGTGTGGACCAGGCTTTTTTTGGTCATCAACAAGCTCCCAAATCATGACATGGAGGCTTCTTATGCTTGGCCTTACCTTACTATGCTTGTCCCAATAAGTCTTATAACTTAACCTGTTTCTCTTCATCTATGTTTTGCCTCGGGGCTTTTTACCTTTCTTTCCTTCTGTATATCTTACTTTCACTGCTTCCTCTATCTGGCTATCTGGTGGCTGCCTGGCTTCTGGCCCCAGGTGTGTCCCTTCCTTTCTCTCTCATTGTCTTTATTCTTCTTTTGAGCCTAGATTTCTCCTCCTATTTATTCTCTTTGCCTGCCAGCCCTGCCTATCCCTCTCCTGCCTTGCTATTGGCCTTTTAGCTTTTTACTAGATCAATCAGGTGCCTTAGGCCGGCAAGGTGAAACAAATGTAACACATCTTTACATAGTTAAAATAATATTCTATAACACTGGTGTCTCTAGGTGTAGGAGCCTGTGTGGATTGAGGAAATGGCAGGTAAAAATACTAAAGAAAAGGTTGAGACACAGAATAGAGTCAGGAGGTCATTCCAGTGAATACCGAATATCCCAAGTTTATTCTTCAACATTCTAATATACCTAAGCCAAAAAGGGAGAAAAGGCAAGAGACTTCTTTATCAAGATACAAGAAACAAGTAAACTTATTTCCTTAATTTTCCAAACGTTTTATAGATCAAATCTCTCATTATTTGACCTTGAGGGTTAAGAGTAACCACACCTTAGACTAAATCTCTTGTTATTTAGATAAGCTGTCCACACCTAAGACCAAACATCCTACAATAATCTTGCCTTAGACCTTTAGGTCTTATGACTGTAATTTTGGAAGAATAAGGATAGTTTTGAACTCTCTGACCTTAAGTTAAAATGAAGTAAAGCCATTTTTATGGATCACAACATCCAGGCTTTGCTGATAGGAAAACACCCTTTCTAATGTTGTAATAGTCACACACCTGGCTTATCTGTAGATATGAAAGGGATTTGTGTATTCTGTACATAGATCATGGACCTTTTCAACAAGGCCATTTTAGGAACCATCAACATAATAGAAATTAGGATTCTGCTGCCCTTAAGGGTATGTCTAGCTCTTGCCAAATTGAGTTGCCATGCACGGCCATCGGAGCTTCAGGAAGCATTGGGCGTGTGTGTTTGTGGGTGGGTACAGAATCACATGAAAGTTCTAAGCTAGGAGTAGTGATGTATGCTTGTATTACCAGAACTTAGAAGGCAGAGACAGGAGGATTGCAAGTTTCCATGGCCAGACTGGCCACTTTATAGTGAGATTTTATCTCAAACACAAAAAGGAAAAGCACTATAGGTTGGATTCCTATGGGATGTTCCATATATTTTTGCTCTCTTTGCTGTCTATGAATCCATATCCAAATTAGAAAATTATAGTTTCCTGACACCAGTTATGGGGACACCCTGGCCTGAGAGAATATGATGATTATGAATTTGTCCATATGACTGAAAGATTATTTTATGGTGTACATAATACCTTGATCTTTTCTTCAGAGATATGCCCGGAATGGTGGCCTAGGTTGATATATAGGAACCTCAGAAAGGCCACTCTACCAACCTTAGCTAGGCAACCTTCCCACA